CTTAGGAACAAAGGTGTTGTTAATGACTTTCTCTGTTGGTACTGAATTCCATATTTGTACAAAGGCTGTGGCATATTTAGCTGCTTCCAAACCCATTGGAATACTTTCTATTCGATCGGACCCTTTTTTGCTCTTAATGTGTTGTGTTACAGCACCACAGACTGCTGAAAGTCCATCAAGAGCCTTAAGAGGCATGGTACAATTCATCATCAGGTCAGGAATCACTTTTCTTGTTATCAGATCCACTGACTGAAGCATTTCTTCCTCACACTCTTTGTGAATTCTGAATTCACTGGACCCATTCTCCAGGATATTCTTTGGTATTCCTGAGCAAATGAAGCTTGTGAGAACTTCATCCAGGTTACGGTTGGCTTTTATGAGTGAAAGCACCTTTTCCTCAAAGACTTTCCTCAGAACGTTTTGGAAAAAAGCATTAAATGCCTTCTCAGCAGTATAACTCAGAGCACTGACGCATCCTTGCTTCCCCAGTTCCTGAACTGCATACTTCCCTGCCTTCAGAAAACACTGTTTTACTGTGTAGGCACTAGTCTTTGCTCCTGGGATCAGACCTTTTGTGCCACTACGCACTGCACTTGCAGCTTTCTTTAGTCGGCTGAATCCACCAGAGATCAGAGACAGCCCGATGCTGATGGCCTTGGAGATTGCCCATTCAGCCCAGTCAAAGCCTCCTTGTATCATTCCTTTGATCCCTTGAATCATGTCAGATACTCCCTCACAGATCAGTCCAAGTCCAAACTGACTGGCACCACCACATGACAGAGCACAAACAAGAACACCTGCTGCAACTTGAAGGGCGCCGAGAACAAAACAAGCAAGGGCATCATAGCAGAACTCTGGCTTCTTTTTAACCTCAAAGACTGTGCTAAGGCCATTCTCATAGAGCATCATCAGCTCATTGGTGGTGATTAAATCTTTATCTTTGGAAAGATGGTACACACTGGAATCCTCTACTTCTGCATCAGCTTTGCTGCCATCGAGCTGTCTCAGAGTTGTCAGGGCACTTTCGATGTATCTTTTCCAAGATTTGAAGATAGTCATCCTGGCTTGCATTTGGATCTGGAGGTTGCTGTTTGTGTGGTGTGGAACAAAGCCACTCGTCACTGAAAGATTACAAAACATCATCGTATTTGTTGATTCTGAGAGATAGACATCCACTGCAGACTGTGCTTCCTCCAATAATTCCTTTGCCTCAGCTATGTAGTCTCCTTTTCTGAGGTTGAGTGTGATGTAAGCTTGATTATAAAGCGCCACAGCACTGTAGAAATGATCGCACTCTGCAGCTCTCTGCCAGTAAGTCTTTGCTCCAAAGTCACATTTGGTTTTGTTCATGCAGTGCAGCTCAGTTCTACTTGCTGCCTGTTTGATGTAATCATAGAAGTTATCGCTCGTCCCCTGCAGGAGGAAGTCACCAGTCTTCTTCAAGTGTTTGGTGAGGTCTTCTCTCAGCTGGCTGATATCGTCATGTCTGCTGATGTGCTCTTCATGAAGGATGAGCCACAAAGCCCACGATTCTTTCAAAGCATTCAGTGCAGTCTGATAGTCGAACTTGTTCTGATGGATCTTAAAATATTCAGGAACATCCTTCAGCTTCATCTTGGACAGGTCACTCCTTTCTTCTACCGTGTAATTCTTGTCAAAGTTACAGAGAAACTGACAGAAACTGGAGAACAGAGTTTCCTTCATGTCAATTTCACAGAGTTCATGTTTCTCCATGCTGTCTAAATGTCTGAGCTCATACTCCTCTCTGAGCTGTCTCATGGTTTCGATGGAATGGCCTTGGTAGGCTGGTGCAAGATGGCCCTGGTTGAGAACCATCTGGACCATCCCTGGGTTTCCTTTTCGGGCGGTGCGTCCAAAGACCTGTCGCTCCACACGGTGACTTCTAGGAAAGTATGTGAGGAGCACAAAGAGACCTCCACTCTCGTTTACGTCCTGCTGAACGTGTATGTCTGTCCCTCGGCCGCCGAGGTTTGTAGCAATGATAATGTTTCCCGGGCTAAAGTTCTGCTTCTCGATGTTGTGCTTCTCGCTGATTGTGTACATGGTGATCTCATTGGCTTGCCTTTCTGGAACATGCATGTTTGTCTTCAGCTCATCTGCAGTTTTAACATCTTCACAAATGATAAGAACAACTTGGCCTCTGTCTGCAGCTCTCTGTGCAGTTTCACAGATCACCTGGATCCACTGCATGTTGCCTCCACTCACCTGAACTGCTGGCAACTCAACAAGCTTTTTACAGCGGTGAGCTGGAATGACATAGCTTGCTGTTTGGTAATGCCGTTCTAGAGAAATACTTTCTCAGCTTGCCCCCCTAATGTCCCAGAAACACCAAAAATGCCTTTTCCATTGAGGTACCTTTTAAAGAAATGGACATTCGACATGTAATTTGTTACATTGGACAGCTGTGAAATGGCCAGCTGGTGCTTCATCTCCAGAAACTGTTGTAGGCCGTCACCCCATCGCTTGTTTTTCTCCAACACCCCACTGGCCTCAAAGTCCACAGGAATTATGGCATCATACTGATGACTGTCAGCATCACTGAAACCACCTGCGTCAGCTTCCGGTGCTTTCTCAATCATGTACTCTCTTCCCTGAGTCATTCTGATGGCTTTTAAGGCGTTCTCGGCAAAAACTGGTAACTGATTCTCAATGTATGTTTTCAAAAAAGAGGGGATCACAATAAATCCCTTACACTCATCCAATGACTTCACTGAACACTCATCAGAATATTTAATTGTTGATTTTAATTTGTCCACAGCTCCTTGGATGAGGGATTCCTCAGACATGATTTCACAGGTACAGCCATTCTCCAGGAGGAGCAGGCTGACATCAGGGTCTCCATGAGAGCTGTCCTTGCTGTAAAGTTTGGCTTTGTTGTTCATTAGTGAGTAACAATTTACAGATGCACCGTTTTCTATTTTTGTCTGAACTTGTCTCAGTAGCTCACACTGTTCTTCTGGTCCAATGTTGGCCATGATTTTCTCAGTAGCTTTCCACCGTGCATCCTTAAAGCTGTCAGTCTCTGTTTGTGTCTGACCATCTGCTTTATTTAATTCATCCACATCCTCCTGTGAATAAAACCCCAGCTGGACACCAAGAATAAGTATGTCAGCAGCTGAAACATCTTCTGATTCTGGGCCAACCACTGCTTGCATTACAGCCTTGTGGAAGTGCTGGATCCTGGTTCCCCACCTGATCTCCCCCGTTTCAAACATTTCTATTGGCTTGCAGGATGACATCATGGCCCAGATGCTTGCCAGGACTTGCTCCATGTGCCTTAGGCTGCCAGCTTGGTGTGACAGGAACGTGACCTGGACACCGCTGTCCAACGTCATGTAGTCCACCTCATCTACTACCACACACTCAAACCTCCTCGGACCTCGGGTAGTCTCCTTCTCAAACTCTTGCCTCAGCGTATCTGCTGCAAATGTACCAACAGTGCCATAAACGACCTGCTGGCTGTATGCATGCTCAAGCAGCTTGTCATGATCTTTAAAAGAGCAGCTATCGATTTGTGTTGGAGGGACCGTGGATGATGTAATACCAAACATATCATATAATTTTCTCCACTTATCCTGATCACGACTTGCTAACAAAGGAGAGCTTGTCACGATGTCCACCTTTATGCCTCGGGTGGCCTGTATTGTAGCAAACATGGCTAAAATACAAGTTTTGCCCTCTCCAGTGCTGATTTCCAACAGACAACCTTTCTTATCCCCAGACTGTGGCAGCAGGAGTAGCAGCAGTGATGCCAGCTGACTGGGTCTTGGGAAGTAGCCCTGAACATGTTCACCGCTTTGAGTGGTAAAGGCGGTGCAATCCTTTACAGCTCTGGATACGATGATCAGGACTTTCTTCAGAGCATCAATCTTAGGATTGTTAAAATCGAGAGCAGTTATTATCTTTTTACAGTCTTCAATCATCTCCCTGTTGATGGGCACACTTCCATATTTGGGTAGCTCTTCTTCAATATATGTCAGGACTTCTCGCAGGACACACTCTGGAAAGTTTTTGTTTTCCATTTCAGCCAAAAGTGTGCAAGCATCTTTGTCTCGCTCAGCTTTGTCCACACAATGTTGGATGTACTCTGCAGGATCGTCTTCATTCAGGGCAGAGAGAGCGTCGTCACAGCTCAGCCTGTATGTGCACGCTTTGTGGAGGATTTTTCTGACTGTTTCCTGATCCATGCTTAAGGTCTTTCCAAGGAAAAGCTTGATGTCTTTTGGTGCCCAGAGGTTGTTGAAGACTATTTGACTGATAATCTCCTTACCTGATCGGGGTAGCTTTGAGGACAGATCCAGAACATTTGCTAACACCTGTTGGGCCAGTGTTGGATTGTCAGCATGTAGCTGTTCCTGCAAACTGAGGAGGAACTCTGTCTTCTTGTCTTGTCCATTTTGGAGGAGATCTTCAAAATCAGGGTCACCCTCTAAGGTCACCTTCAGCACTGCCTCCAGGACGTTGAACCTCTCAGTCAAAGACAGCAGCACGTATCCAGTAGTCTGATCCAAAGCCCACAGTAACGAAGTGGGGACGAAGTGGGGGTGCTCATTAAAATATTGTAATGTCAGCTTATTTTGGAGAGTCTTCATCCTGTCTTCCAGCTGGATCTGTAAATGTTCATCCTCTCTGATGTCATACTTTGATAGAAGTTTTTCAAACTTCTCATTAACATCAGCGACCTGTATTAAAGAGGAACAAAGACACGAGCGTAACAGTGTCAGCAGCAGGAAACTGTATGCAGGGTCAGATGATGTCATCCTCACCTGACCATAATGTTGAATTATTATGGATGTTTTGGGTATCTGGCAGTAAGGACAACAAACATCTGTTCAGAACTGTGATGATGTTCTGCTATGAGGACCTTCAGGAGTAGCAATTGATTTTTTAATTTGCCTGGTTAAAAGGAGACCTATATAACAAAATATTATGCTAATTATTAATGTTATAAAAATATAGTATTATACTGATCTGAACTGTTTACAGTTTTGTTTGTTTTTTTCAAAAAAGAGAAATTTGTCATCTTCCAGAGTACAGGGCTGGGACATAGTTAGGGTTACGATGACTTAAATG